CGGCGTTTGATGAGAATCGATACGTCATCACCTTTGTAGGGTAAACAAAGAAAAACACTTTTCCGGGGAACAGTTATCAGTGTTTTTTTCTCCCTGCTGTCTGGAATACGAACTTTGCAGGGTAGCCGTTGTCCAACAGTGTTTCATAGAGGACTGTTGTGTCTTCGTCAATTTTTGACGTTCGTGGCAATTTGGCGTGCTCGATTAAACAATGTACGTACCAGTGCACGCTTGTATGCTATTGGGGCAAAATTTTTAAAATGCAAGTATTACCCTGACGAAGTTTTCTTTTGGTAGTTACTTCAAGCCAATAACCCGTCGTTCTATGAGCACGTCTAAGAATGGCAAAACGCCATTGGTTTCCCTTTCGGTCGTAAATTTGTATGTAACGTGTTCAGGTGTTGAAACACTTCATTCATCTCTCTCTTACAAATCAGGAAGACATCGTCAACACAGTGCCTGTACATGGGTACTTGTTGAAGAATTGCATACGCCTTATCCTCAAGATAACCCATGAAAATATCAGCTAATACAGGTCCTAGAGGGCTTCCCATAGCCACTTCGTCTATTTGTTTATAATATTTGCAATCAAGTACAAATTGGACATGTGATGTGCATAAACTTAGCAATCTACATAATTCCGGAAATAGTACTTTAAGATCTAAGTTGTGCTCGGCTGCGTAATTATGAGTTGTTGAACTCACTTCCTAAACAGGGACATTTGTAAACAGTGATTGTACATTAAATGATGACATTAACTTGTTTTTGACCTTCATGTTGGTGATAATGGTGATGAAGTCAAAAGTATCTCGCAGGCTGTGTTTTTATAGGCTAGATCGCACCGGTTCAATTATTTCCACCAACCACTGGGCGAGTCAGTGGTAGGGTGGTAAGGTGGTANTGGTAAGGTGGTAGGGTCCATTTGTGATTCGCATGAAGTAACTGATGATATGCGAAAGAAATGTCGCTGCAACACACATCTTGCATAACCCTACTGGCCTTTTTCAAAGTGAATATCTATTCAATTCAGTAGTACAGAACTGTTACAGGCGTTTACTTTCTTTAAAGACTGACTACCTTATGAAGCGATGTGTTTGCCGCATCAAGCCACAGCAAACATCGAGTTGAGCGGAACTTTTTCCTTCATGATCCTGTGTCATTGGATTTGCCAATGAAATATCAGCTTGAGCAAACAACACGACAATCAATATTGGTAATAATTTTGCTAATGTAGTACTTACCAATACCTAACTCGCTCTTGTGATCTCAGGACTGCTATCTAATGAATATTTTTTTACTGACCCCGTAATCTTCGTTACGTTCACAGAACTCATCTGACCACGCACAGCTTGATAACCAACAGGTTGCAGACGAATCACAACCAACGGAATCCACTCCCAAACAGGTAGCTTTTTCTTTATCGGGTTTGGAATGGAGCATGTGGCGAGATGCTGAACATGGCGGCGGAATCGGTGCTCCAAAAAACAAATCAAAACCAGCCGATCCGAACGATCACCGTGGACTGTTACCTCCTCTGTCCCCGTGGTCGTTCCGTCCATGGACTCGTCGTTTAGGTGCCGCGTGGCGGTACACATTGTTCTGGTTAAGATCCACGCCGGAGGTGAACGATACCCTAATGCTGACAGCGGGCTCGGATTCGAATCCGTCGTTTTTTCGTGTGAACGCCGAAATTCCCACTGCACAATCCTCTCAATCCATGGTCCATCGTCGTATACGTTCCAAATATGGTCGACTTGTTTACACTCCGGCTTGTGACGGATGCTCCAAATGTTGGCCTAATCGAATTGAGGTATGCCTTCGCGAACTTTGTGATCAGATGGTTCTTGGATGTGATAGGAATTTTGATTTTCCATACAAGCCATATTTTTTTTTTTTGGGGGGGGGGGAATNAATCTTTAGTCTTCAAAATGCAAATGTCATGAACTGCATAAACCGATCCGTTTACCGTTCGCAATAATAGTTCGCACGTATTCATTTGTGAAAGGTCAGCGTGACCTTTTAAAATCAGTGTGTGTGTATGTGCGCATTTATTCCAACACTAGTTTTTCGATGCTATGCGGGAATAACGTTAGTGGGCCGGAAGACGAGCTAGCCGGAATGTAGTGCATGCCACTTTTTACCTTCCCTGTTCATCTTGCCACTAATTCCTGCGGGGTTATTACTACTCTACAGCGAAGAATTTGTTGTGATCATGCGCTAAAATCGGGTCTTATTAACTAAGCTCGTGACAAACTTGAAGAGATGGATCATATTTGCATCATACTTAACCACCGGGATTCACGCTAACAAGTTAACTGAAGGTCATTTTGGTGGCACACTTACAGTGTTCCTCTTACGTTCCTCTGCATTATGACAGAGCACATTGTAAATTATACTGATAAGGTCAAAAAAATTGACAAGTGTCGATCAGGTTTCCATGACTGATGGGATTAGTTGTATGCTGGGCGCTTTCCTCTGTTATTGTTCCTTCGAAACTCCATAATTCGTTGCCCGGGTCGGAAATCATCACTTGATTTTGGATGTTCCAACAGGTTCATCCGTTACAATATCGATTATCTCCAACACGGGGTTTTAGACTCACGTTGTCGTGCACTGTTGTCAAGATTTAAGGATTGAATACAGCACAGCACGAGAGGCAGACCATGCAGTAGTCTGATAACCGACACAGAGAAGATCGGTTTATTTCCGATTCGCTTTGGAAAGCAAGTCAAATATTGGTTGATGTGAAAAGTCGAAATTCCGATTGTCGCGCTACGCGTTGCAACCGCGTGCTACAGGCTGATACAATTAGAAAGTGGGGCTATTTCTATATCTATCAAGTTTATACCACGTTAGGTCTTCCATCATATTGTCTGGCAATCAGTCCACACCGTAGCTGATTTTACGTGATGATCCACCGCGAATCTTCTTACTATATCAGTGCAGATTTCAGGCTGGAAGCATTCAACTGTCTGAGCATTAGCTCAGCTAATTAACCTCATATAAGGCAGCAGATTTAGTCCGGTTTTACATGAATGAACTCACTCTGAATTGTTTATCAGAGGTGGGGTCAGCAATCAGGAAGAAGGAAATCACCTGTACTACAACGTGAAGGTACCACCGTTTTGTGTGTCGATACCTAATTCCTACACTCCAGTAGCTAATGTTGCTTTTAACTTTCTTCCGCATGATCGGTCATTGTTTGAAACACTCTCGGAAGCCAAACCTGATGTTGATGGTTTTGACTGTTCCAAGATCTGTTGTTATAGCTGCTAAATTTTTATGAGTTCTTATTTATTCTTCATTCTCTGCTGCTATTAGCTGCGGTGATCCAATAGAGTAGATCGTTTGCTAATTGTATGATCGCTCATAATGATGATTGTGGTAGAGGTTGTTTTAAACACTAACTCGCCATTTTCCAATAATTAAGCCGCGGATCCTTATTTGAATCCTGCCATCCTGTGGTTAGCCAAAAAACACGTCTGACAAGGCTTTGATTTCTCTCTGATCAAATAGGCTTGTAAAAAACGGCAAAATATGGCTCAATGAACATGCGCACCCTGTTAAATCCGATATGAATCGTGTATGAATGCTTACTGAATCGGGTTTAGTTCTGCAGTACTCACTCACATCATTGCTTATCACGATACTATTTTGCAGCCCTGTTCTGCTGCTGCCATCTAACCATAATTCATTTTTGCTGTTTCAGCATCTTCAGTCCACCTCAGATCTCGGCGTTTCTACAACTCCCAAATCAGAGTCTACATTCAGTAGGATGTTTGGACTCAGTCGGGCCAAGTCGGTCGGTTCCGGGCTATCGAACCAAATGCATCAAAAACGTCTTCCCTCTGATCGTAGCCACATCCAAAATGAGGAATGCGGCCGTGAGTACACCGTGGATTTACGGGATACAGCCGGTGTTGTAATGACTTTGGATGGTGTAAGTAGTCATCTGATTCTCTCTCTCTCTCTGTCTCTCTCGAATATCTCATTTCCCCTTTGCTGATCCTTCTGCATGGTGATTCCATTCTCTATTCTCAAATTCTTAGGTACCCACTTGGGATATCCTTCTCTTCTGTCCAGTTCTTCCTCTCACTCCCAAGTTGTACTAAATGCCTCCTGTTTCCACCACCCGGGGGATATCACTCGGCGTGCAACTAGTGAGGTCTGTCAACCAGAAGCTATCAGACTTTGAAACCAAAATCTTTTCACCTAACCGCGTTTAACGTCCACACACTCCATCAGATCGGTCAACAAGCTACCTTAGCTAGAACGTTTGAAACTTTCAATTTAAAGGTATACTGTGTCTCCGAAGTACGCACACAAAACTCTAATTCAATCATCACCTTGCAATCTCATCCTTACGCTTCACCCTTCGTGTGTTACACGATCCGGTATCCGATGCTCGCGGTGTCGTTGGCATCGGGCTTGGGCTAAGTATCAAGACCGAGAGTTCACTTATCGATTAGATCACGGTTATAAACCGCCTTGCGCTGTACGTCCCAGCGGTTCAAAACTGGTCAACAGCTATGGAACGAAGCATCCGTGCCTTTTCGTTGTATCCGTTTATGCAACGACTGATTGCAGTTCGCCAAAAATGAAGAATGAATTCTACAATTACCTCTCAACTGCTCCGAAGTGCTCGGTCAACGGATATCGCGGTAGTCGCTTGAGACCATTATGCTCGCTGTACGAATCGGAAAGGCTCCTTAGTGGTACACATGCAATCCTAGCCAAACGGACGGATAACGGAGAACGCCTACTCCAACTTGGCGCCGACCACAGACATTTCCCGTCAGGCACCAACTTCTCGCACAGGAAACGATACGGCTTTACGTGGAAACTGCCAACCTCTTCACAGCGCTGGACCCGAATCGACCACATCGCCATCAGTTCCCGCTGGAGGGGCTCGATTCAAGAGTGTCGCTCCTACTGCTCAACATCTGCTACGAGCGAGATTCTCCCTACGCCTAGTAAACGACCGCAGAAACATCACCGGAAACGGATACCCACAATACAATATCAGCAATAGTTGCAAATCGGATTTCGAGGTGCAACTCTCTGATTAACTTCCACTTCAACCTTCAGCCGGAGGACTTGGTGAACACTGGATGGCAATCAAAGAAGCGATCCAACTGTCAGTCAAAATAACTGCGGATTCTGGCGCACGATGGACGCAAAAACAATAAACCACTCCGACCTCGGCTGCCACACTTGACACTCGCCTTAGTATTGGAGTTAACGAAACTGCTGAGAACAGTGTGGAAGAGGAAACAGGTGGTGACGAAGTATTGAAAATTAGTTCTCTTGTGAATGGTGTGAATCCGTCATCGTGCCGATCATGGTAACCGATGGTTAAAGATACTGCGTGACATGGTTGGGTGTCGCAAACATTGGCGGTCATGCAACTCCTCATTATTCTTGCAATCTCAGTCTATCTAAATTCTCTATCTTCACTTTGACTCTGCTCTTAGCATTCCATTCTTTCTGTTGTTTTATCCCAATGGGCACCTAATAGACTGCACGCAAAACCGACGCATGAGAATGAATGGTTAATGGTTGTAAAATCTGAGACTGAGACTTTTTAAGCGACTTGATAATGAATTCGAATGCACAGTGACTTAAATAAGCGCTGGCTTGTTGTACTGTTGTGAGGCACGTCCTTGTCCCACCCTTTTCGTCAGTTATTTCAAACGAAGTACGATAAGACGGTCCATTGTCATAAATGTATAATGCATATTGGAGTCAACGAAGCCTCTTCAGTGGAGTTCTTTGTAACAATGAATACTGTCACAACACAGCCGAACTCGCGGTCTCTCCTCGTTGTTACTTACCCGTTTGATCTAGCTCACCCGTACCAATCAGAACAGTCAGTGACAATCAGAGCTCTCATACGCACATAGAAATCGAATATCTCACTACCCGCATGAGGTTTTGATTTCGCTTTTACCTTCCGTTAACGCCCAGGTGTTTCAATCACTGAGTATGTATGCACTCACTTTTTTCACTGTGCTGTTGTCATTAGTTACCCAGCTACCAAATTCGGCGTAGCAAACGAACACGATGAATTGATTAGCGGAAGGATAAACTTATCCCATACTGGACTTTCTTACCAGTCGTGTGATAATTTACCCCAAGCTAATGATAAGGTGCGCATCATGTGGCTGAACACGGTTGGGATTCTATCGGGGCCGTCCGTTCCCCGTGTGAACTAAACAGAAGGATACTCGTCAGACCCAATTGCCTTTCGTCTCATTCTCAACCGAATGAAAGGTCGTGCGTGCATAGTTTTTATTCGCTTTCACATACCGATGTAACTTTTGCTTCTGATACTAAATCAATCTCACTAGTAACAAGCCAGTTGGAACATCTTCTGATATGTCCATCAAACCATTCCTCTTTATTGCAGATTGTTTTGCCTACGGAAATCCACCGATTACCGGTGTTGACTTTTGCGTGGAACATTGCCAGTGTCTGAAAATAGCGTTCGGTTCGATTCGATCCCATTAGATCGGCAGTTCTATAGCAAATCACGCCGACGACAGCTCGTAGCAGCTTAGTCGAACGTTGGCACATTAATGGGGCCCTAAAACATCAATGTAAGGAAGCATCGGTTTATGGTTATCCAATTCTACGGATTTATTATCCAACACGGGCTTGATATCGCACCTACCAAATTCATTTTTACCTGACATACTAATGAAGTAGATCGAAACAAGGTCTGAGCAAACAAATGGCCCCTGCATTAATATGGTCTTCAATCCACATCCTACAACCGCGACACACATCGATCGATTCATATTTTATAATGTCTGTCCTATACATAACATGATTTCGGGACATCCCAACTCGATGATTGAAGATCTTTTGTGACGTGGCTCGATGTCAGAAACAATGACTCTAGATTATTTGTTCACTTACTGCACACTTTCATTCATATCCTCTTAGCACTTTATCAATGCTTGTCGTATTCTCTCTCTCTCTCTCTGTTCTATCCAAATGTCCACCAGATAGATAGTCATGAGATTTCAATCTAAGCCAATCACAAAATCATAGGCATGATGTTTATTCGCACAATGACTGAATGGTTCACTTTTTCGTTTAAGCATTTCACTGTTCAAGTAAGCACCGAGAAGCAAACTGTCACTGTATTACGTAACTGTCATAAGCAGTTTACCACAAAATACATTTCACATTCGAAAGCCTCGTCAACCCCTCAGTCTGGAGGCCTTCACTGTGAGAACTCGAATGCGAGTAGATCAATAAGCGTGTCTTGAGCGTACAATGGACTCTTTGGAAATCGATATGTGTCGTGTATCGGAGACGCGAATCTAGGATCCTAGAAGCCATCTGAGTATATCGTTTCTGTCCTCGGGGTACTTCCTTCGCATATCAGGAGACAATGAAGCCCATTCTTTGAGTCAGAGAAGTGTAGGAATCGTACAAAACGATAAAGCTGAGACCTCACTGATAGATTGGATACCCGTTAACAGTCGTTTATGCGCAATTAGGCACCGGGGTTCAGTCAGCGTTCGGAAGGACAGCAACACCAAAAGGTGCTTATTCATCATATCGGCATGTGCACTAGCCAGTTGCAATCCCAATTCACAAAAGCACGAATCTGATGACAAACTCTCTGAGCTCATCCGTTAGAGTCATGACTCTGATGCTATAGTGCAGGTGATTTCAATGTGCAGGTTGGAAAACTGAGCGCATGTGCTCTGCTTGCTCAATGGACAGACAACGGCGATCGACTTCATTTCTGCGCAACTCACCGACGGTTCTTATCTAGCAAAATTTTTTCCATACAGCTCTCGTCGGACGGCAACATGGTGTTCTAGGTTAACGGGAAAGTGGACCCAAATGGACCACATAGCTATAAGCTACCGTTGGCGTGGCTCAATACAAAATTGCAGATCACACACTGGTTCCGATTTGCGTCTCGTTTCGATTCATTGGTGATCGTTAAAAGTCACTTCCTCAGTTGACTCATTATCCTCTGCACGATCCATCTGTTTGCGCGCCAACCGACAGCAGCGGCGTTCTTGTCATTTGTTATTAGATCAGAGTGCTTGAAAAGTTAGGTTGTGCACTCTGTGTGTAGAGGTTCACTTTCTTTGCCTCCCTCCAGATAGGCCCAAATCCTATCCATTTTTTCTTTCTAATTTACTTTGTGTACATTGAGAGCTTGGCAGCAATCAACGAAGTTCGGTTGTCTGTTTCTTGCTATACGATGATGATGGGGATCAATTATCCTCTTGTCGGTACTGATCTGTTTCACTTACAATATATATATATATATGTATATGTATATGTATATATATATATATGTATATATGCGTACCATGTACTGATATTTCCCGCTTTTCTCAATGAATGCGAACAGGAGAATGTGCGAGTTCAAATCGTTCCCACACCGAAAGGATTTTTTTCGTACATGCGTGAAACGTTCTCCTGGTTGCGTTTGGACAGTTACCGTGCCAATCTGATCGATGAACCCCAGTCATTGCGTTGTGCAACTGTACGATTGTATCCGCAAATCACTCAAGTGAGTTGGTGGTATCTGGGATTTTCTTTTAGCGTTGCTTATATATCTTGACTCTTCTACCTTATCTTGGTGCACTTAATGAATAGACGGTGGAGCTTCTTTCGTCAGTTGATGTCGCAAAGGTTTAATCACAATCAAGGTAATGGAGAGAATTTAGTCTCTGCAGCTGACACTGTCACTGCCATCTAGGCATGAGTGGCTCCAGCTCGTCCCAAACCACCATCTCACAGTTTTCGTGATTGATCCACGAAACCCCATGCTTGTTTCACTTGGCCCCTTTTAGTTTGTAGCGAATCTCGAGACTTGCTCTCAACAATGTACCATCGAGATGTAATCAGCAACAACCTTTAAGATGCTTTTCCATCCCACAGTGACGGTACAGAGCCTGAAATGTAAGAGATAGAGATATGTATTAAAATCGGTAAAAAGTAATTTCACAATATTCTCCCTGACTTGTTTGAACATGATCTACAGGTGTCATTAGAGTGTGTTTAGATCTTACTGTTGCTACCCAAAAAGGGTCTTTAGGGCGAGTGAATAATAAGGACCTGTTGTGAAGTTCTGATAGTCATATGTGTGTGACTTTACAGGTCGTTCAAAGTGTCCATAGGGAGAACGTGGCCGGATGCTGTGTATTGGCACTCGCACAGATAGTACGGTTTGGGGCGAACCGGACGGTGCCACATCGCGTAGTGAGACCCTATTTACCCTTCCGTCTGCCAAGNCTGAGGATTGCGATTGATGCTTCCTCTACCCATGTGTCAAACCTCGATGATCGTACACCACGATCCAGAAGCCCGGGCCTAATGTTGTCGTCCAGCGTTGGACAAAAGAATAATCCTCTGTTAACTGACGCCGTTTATCTGTTCTCCTGTGGACCGCATGGAGTTGTTGTACTATTTACGAGGCAGTTTAATCTGCGAAATTGCCGCACTGCGTGTATGCTGTTAACGACATACATTTATCGGAGCGGATA